TAGAAATTGGAAAAGAATTTARGGCCTGGTACTAGATTCCATCATAAGCAAATATTACTAAAATTACTTCMGTTGATATAAAATTTTCTGATATGCAAATAAAATTACCCTCTCAGTGTGCTTCAGGGCTGTACCTATGGGTAGCATCTGTTTCAGAGTTTCTTGCTGTCTCAGAGAACATGAATGAGGTTCTCTGTCTTTATCTCTGAATTCAATCTGAATTATTGCATTCTGACACTAATTCCTATTCAGGGCTTTTTTGGTTGTTTCCCTTTGGTTGTTTCCTAAAAGCAGTCTAGAGGAACTTAGAAATGAAAAAGCAGAGGGATGCTTCAGTGAGTCTGCTCCTTTGACTTTCAGCGTTTTCCAGCATTTACTCCATGACAAAGCCATAAGAATGTCTTTCCTCTAAAACTTACTCATAATCCATGAAAATTTGATTTCAAAATTACTTATTTAAGGGCTCAATATGGAAACATCTATCTAGTTCAGAAGTACTACTTTCCTTATGGGCTCCATTTCTCTTTCCATCGCTTCCATTAGTTTATGGAATTTTTACTCTCCATGGCTTCTTTCCTGAAAAAAAAATTTAAAAAGAATGCTATTTTGGTACAAGACTAAGGAAAAAACATCTGWTTTTCTTCCCAGTTTTATAGACTCTGATATTAAAAATGTTCTGTATGCTTCTGAGCAGAGAGAAGGAGCTCCAATATTATGCACAATATACAACCTTAAATAGATTCAGAGCTCTAGTTGTGCAGCTACTTGGCACTTTGTCCTCTTGAAGGTAATTGCACTAGAGCAAGAGGACAGAACAATTAWTTAGGGAAGCCAGCAAGCAGACAACAGCAGAACAAGAGCCACAGGGTGAGATTTTGTTGGGGGAGGAGGCTGTTCTCTAAAGGARGCTCTAATTATTGTGGCAAAAGAAACACTGAAGAAGAATTGCAGCAACAATGCAAATGAATRGGTGTAAAACTCATCTATGCATTATGCAGGCAGTACTTGAATGTGGATCTAAGAAAACCCYACTTTATGCATGAGATGTTGTCAATAAAATGTCCAGGGACTGGASAGAGCTGGAGATAATGGTATGGTTTTAGAGGGAAATTTGCAGCAGTGACAGAGAAAAGAAGATTTAAAATACCTTGCTGCACAAGAAGCTAAAGAGAAAGTGCTGAGGACACATATTTGTAGAACAGGACAGAAATAGAGACTGAGTAAAATRGGACAAATAATGTGCAAGAAGTCTATTGCACTACATTCTATTGCAGAATGAAGATGAGAAATGGGAAAACAGGTTGTTACAAGAGAGAGTT